ATCCTTCTTCTTAACGAAGAAAAACCCTGCTGAAGCGGGAGAAGTAGATGGTCGAATGAATCCTTTCTCTAGCTCCTCAGAGATGTACTTCTTCATAGCCTCAGTTTCAGGTTGTGAGAGAGGGAAGATGCGACCACGAGGGGGCGTGGTGCCGGGTAGCAGCTCAATGGCACAGTCATTATCACGATGAGGAGGGAGCTTAGTAGCCTTCTGCTTATTGAATGCTTCAGTTAGATCGTGATACGCATCAGGAACATGCTGGAGTTCAGAGTCTTCGGTCTTGTTAATTGTGTTGATCTGGATAGGGGAAACAGGATGCAGACATTGGGTAAAGCATTGATTGCTCCATTTTATGATCTCACCAGTTCTCCAAGAGACTTGAGGGTCATGCTGTTGTAGCCATGGTAACCCAAGAATCACAGAGTGTTTAGGGGAGTTGATGGCAAGAAGGGAAATTTCTTCTTCATGGAGAGAGCCTGTTTGAAGCAAGATTGGCAGGGTCTGGAATTTTATACGTCCTTCTCCCAAAGGGCGCCCATCTACAGCAGTGATGGCTATGGAGGAATCACAGGAGGTTAAAGGAATGGAGTGAGTGGTGGCAAACGTGTAATCAATAAAGTTACCAGCGGCTCCTGAATCGATCATGGCCATAGTCTCAATCTCATCTCCATCGTTTCTCAAAGTGACAGGTAGATTCACAACATTATTAGTGGTAGTGAACATAGTGGTTGCACTCACCGAGAGGGTTTTAGGGAGAGGCTTGTTGGGACATAAAACCTTCGTATGACCTGGAAATCCGCAGTAAATGCACAGGTGATTTCTTCTCCGTCGTTCTCGCTCTTCTGGGTTCAGACGGGTTCTACCCAATTGCATGGGTTCAGCGGAGGTTTCAGGGGATACAGGACTGGAAGCAATTGAGCAGAGCGGATTGCGAGTGCGGAGGAGAGTGTCTAACCTTATGGAAAGCTCGATTAGTTGATCCAGTGTTTTCCCATCGTCACGACATGCCATCTCTCGCTGCAATTCTGGCTTTAGAGCCCTTCTGTAGAGCGTGACAAGCGGATCATCAGCCCAGCCAGTTTGCGCTGCCAAGGTGCGGAACTGCAGGGCGAACTCAGCTGCGGAGCGATCTCCCTGTTGGATACACAATAGCTCCTCGCCAGCGTTACGACCACCCTCCGGATGATCGAACACAGTGCAGAAACGTTTGAGAAAGTCATTAAACGAGGGAAATATCGGGGTACTGTCTGGCCAAACTGCAGTAGCCCAGTCTAGCGCTTTCCCAGTGAGCAGTGAGCACACAAAAGCAATTTTCCTGTTTTCGTCCTTAAACAGATGGGGTTGTTGTGCGATAAACAGTTTACATTGCAATAGGAAGCCTTTACATTTTGCTGGGTTACCTGAGAACTTGTCAGGAAAAGCCAATCGAACTCCGGAAGTCATCGGGGGTTGTGCAACAACAAGTGGACTTGGAGAGTAGTTGGCGGTGGGTTGCGCAGTGGCAGCAGCTTGCAGGTTTTGGAGGGATTTCACCAGTTCATCTGTTAACTGAGTTAGGTGTGTTAGTTGTTGTTGGTGTGTTGACAATACCTGAGCTTGTGTTGTGACTTCGTGAGACAAAACCTGGATGGCTGCGGGATCCGTGTTGGGCGAAGTCTTCTGTAACGGGGAGACTGACACGGAGGGATCCATTTTGCAGTATTTATTAAGTCACACGTAAACATCAACACCTCGCACGGCTGTGCGAACATACAACATACAACTCAACGATGATTAGCAGATAACAGAGGCAGAGTGATTACCAGGCTTGAGTCAAGGGCAGGCAGCGTGGTTCAGAGTCCGTAATACAGGCTTTAGTCAGGGGCAGGCAGCGAGAATCAGAGTCCGTGTAATCAGGCTTTAGGTCAAGGGCAGGCAGAAGACAGAGCAGAGTCGAGGAACGGGCTGAAGTGGTAAACGGGAGATCAGGCAGGATAGAACGCTCAGAAATGCTGGCCGGGGCTAAACAAGACTTCGCAATGAAGTGTGTGTGTGAGCTGCTTATATGTGGTACGTGGGTCATTAGTGAGATGGAGAACAGGTGTGCTGGGATCTGAGTGAGAAGGATGACGTAATGGTTAGAAGTCCGGAGATGGTGACCTCTGCTGGTCAGCGAGGGGAATGACTGGGACCGAGTCGGTGACACACTCAATATAGCCTATGTTTTTGAGTTAGACAACAGCTCGTCTGATTCCCTACCATTTTTTTTCTGGAATATTGTCTTTCATCTGAGCAGGAGCTGTTTGCAACCAAAGACTTCGAGACCCTGAGGAACAAGTTTTTGTTTCATCTATCTTTTTTTGTCCCTCTGGCTGTCAAACCAGTCTTTTCCTCGTGATTAGGGTTTGTTGTTTAACGGTTGTTGTTTTTTTTAGCTGATGTGTTCCCCTCACCTCTCTGATGCTGTGGGTCAGTGGGTGTAATGACAGACTGCAGTCTTCTCTGTATTTACCTTCCGCTTCTCAGTGTTTTCTCAGATTGAGTGGCCTGAAGTGGTCTCATAATTAACACTATTTTTAAATAATGGCTGCTTTCTCTTTGCTGTGTTGTTTAACGGTTTTCATCGAGCGCGGGAAGAGTCGAAGAGTCTCTGATTCACTGCAGATCGTAGACAGTATCAGACTGAAACTCAAGCGTTGACGGCCACATCTTGATAAGCTCCGACTGATAAATCTCAATAACATACGGGTGATTTTTATTTTTTTTTTTAAGATGCCATATTTCTGCACATTCATTCAGGCATTTTTATTTATTATTAACCTATAATTTAAAAAAATATATATGATTAGTTTATTTCTTGAATCGTTCAATTAGAAATACAATGTCAGTATTAGTTTTATTACGTAATAGTAGGCTACACTATACTAGATATTATTCATGTCTGCATAACTTTATTCTCTGTTATTTGAAGTATATGTATATAGATATATATCAGTCTTTTGACCATGAGTCATTGGGATCTAAAATAACAGCATTAGAAAATAACTTTCAATGTATAAAGGGGGAAAAAGACATTTTGTTGTTAGACTATTACTTTTTTTTAAATAAAATTATGTCTTGAACAAAACAAACAAACTGATTTTTTTCAGAAGAAAAAAAATCAGAATTTTATTTTTGTTTGACTGTGTGCAAATTTGACATATTTAGTGTTTGGGCTTATAGTTTTGCATCACTGCATTTATAATATCTTACATTTGTTTTTATTTATTTATTTTAGATCATCAAATTTAAGTTTAATTAACTACAATGTAATATTTATCTTAAAATTTGTTCTATTTCAGCTCATGTTTTTTTTAATTAAACGTTTTAATATACGTTTTTGCAGTTTAGTATTTTATTTAGTAATTTTAGTATTTCAACATATTATGAATACTACTTTTAAAAGTAGTTATCTGCAGCCTTTCTAATTATTTTAAGTGCAACTTTAAGTTACAATATATAACTATAATAATATAATAATAAAATAATATATATATTGGCAATGCATTTTGGTGCATTTAAACAAAACAGATTTATTAAACAGATTCATTTATTAAAATAATATTTGAATCACCAAACATATTTAGAAATTGAAACATAATACAATTAAATTCAGGCAAAATGTTGCAAAAATAAATTGCAACCTTCAAAATTGAATCTAAATTTTTCCATTTTTTGCTTCTCTTGATTTTTCCTCTTTTTTTAAATTTATATTTAATATTTTTCTATAACATATAAATTTGGTGTATAGTTTTTGGATCATTATCATAAGTTATTTTGTTAGATAAGCTTCAGATTAATAAAATATTGTATAGCTTTAATTTCTGTTTAATGGAGTTTTTTTCAACACATTTATAATAGTTTTAATAACTCATTTCTAATAACTGATTTTGCCATGATGATTTTTGGCATGATGACAGTAAATAATATTTTACTAGATATTTTTTAAGACACTTCTATACAGCTTAAAGTGACATTTAAAGGCTTAACTAGGTTAATTCAGCCTGATCTCACGAGAAAACGTAAGTATTTTACGTTTTGCCAGTTTAGTGGCTAATTCGTACGAATTCGTACGAGTTCAGTCGTACAAAATGGTACGATTTTAAAAAGGAGGCGTGGCACCTGACCCCACCCCTAACCCCAACCGTCATTGGGGGATAAGCAAATCGTACTAAATTGTACGAATTAGATCGTACAAATTCATACGAATTAGCCACTAAATGAAAAAGTTACGAATTGCCGTGAGATTGTGTTGGTTAATTAGGTTAACTAGGCAGGTTAGGGTAATTAGGACATTTTTTTTGCTCTTTTAAACATTCATTCATTTTCTTGTCGGCTTAGTCCCTTTATTAATCTGGGGTCGCCACAGCGGAATGAACCGGCAACTTATCCAGCAAGTTTTTTACGCAGCAGATGCCCTTCCAGCCGCAACCCATCTCAACCCATCCACACACACATTCACACACACACACTACGGACAATTTAGCCTACCCAATTCACCTGTACCGCATGCCTTTGGACTATGGGGGAAACCGGAGCATCCGAAGGAAACCCATGCGAAGGCAGGGAGAACATGCAAACTCCACATAGAAACGCCAACTGAGCCGAGGTTCGAACCAGCAACCTTTTTGCTGTGAGGCAACAGCACTACCTATTGCGCCACTGCCTCGCCCTCTGTTAAACATAATTTGGGAAATATTTAAAAAATCAAAAAAAATTCAAAGGGGGTTTGATAATTGTGATTTCACACACACACACACACACAGACACACACACACACACACACACACACACACACACACACACACACACACACACACACACACACACACACACACACATATATATAGTTTAAGTAATAAAAATTAAATAGTAATGATTAAATATAATAGATTTTGTAACAATTGAAGTTTTAGTTTTAATAACAAAACTTTGGGTAAACTATCCTCTAACATAGAATTTAAATATTACAACAATAAAGATGGTAGCAAATATCCATGTTTATTTTGCCAAATACATTATATATATATGTATATATTACAATCACATTACAGATACAAAATATTGAACAACGAACAAAGTCACATTTATGTCAAAGTTCAGTGCATTTTAAATGTTCCAGGCTTCAATTTGTATTGCAATAACAAAACAAAAACCACAACACAGATAAAATAAATCATGACTGGGAGCAGTAGCCTGGGGTGATTGCTGCCATCTCTGAGCGCAACATGAATTGACAATGTCAGCATGTTAGTCTTAGAAGAGCGCGTGAGAGCATTCACACAACTGTCTGATAAAGGGAATCTTCTTTGCGTCCACTCGGACCTGCTTACTCAGGCACCGCGATGAGAACTGGGCTCACCATGCAGGCCGGCCGCTCCCTCAAGTGCCTGGGGCCTTGGTTCATACCCGACAATGCTATGTCCCACATTACACCTCAGATCCCTCCCGTGGATACAGCAAATCAGAGGATCCCAGCACTGGATAGAGCTGGCTGCTGTACGGGTTCAGCATTGAGTCACTATAGCCATCTTTGTAGGGAGTGGATGAGATGCTGGATTGAGGGATTTGGGTTTCCCATTGTGGCATGGTTGCGTTCGGTGAGTATGAGCCATAGACCCCAGTCGGAGATGACCTTTGGCTCAGCGGGACAGCCAGAGGAGAAGGGAGGAGAGCCTCTCTGGATCCTGAAGCCACATCCCCCATTTGATTTAGGAAGCTGTTGAGACACGGAGCTTGATCTGTGGAGATTGGAGAGTTTCCTCTCTCCGAGGAGTCGCTGGGGTTTTTAGGACTGGACAGAGCAGAGTCTGATCCAGAGTACCCTTTTCCCTCCTCTTCAGCCTGAGAGTCCGACTTTCTCTTCCTCTTGCGCCGGAAGTTTCCATTATCAAACATCTTCTCACAGTTTGGGTCAAGAGTCCAATAGTTGCCTTTTCCTATTAAAAAAAGAAGAAACTTGATTATTTTGTCATTAAACATCGAACTAAGGCTAAAGTACAACCCAAGCAGATACACACGAACAGTTTGAACAAGTTCTCACCTGGATCGCTGTCATCTCTGGGCACTTTCATGAAGCAGTCATTGAGCGAGAGATTGTGCCGGATTGAGTTCTGCCAGCTGGCTTTGCTCTTGTTGTAGAAAGGAAAGTTGTCAGCCACATACTGGTAGATCTGGCTGAGGGTGAGCCGGCGGTTTGGAGCTCCATGTATTGCCATCGCAATAAGTGCAGAGTACGAGTAGGGAGGTCTCACGAGTTTCATCAGATCTTCTTGGGATGGCAGAGAGAACCAGCTGAAGGCACCCTCTGAGCCTCCGATTCCACTTGCGCCCACATACTGCTTCGCCATCCCATAGTGCTGAGGCCCTGTGGTGAGGCAAGGAGCTGGACTGAGTCCTGGCCCGTTGAACCACAGGTAAGGGTTGGAGGTCTGCCCTGCGTATTCTCCGAAATCGTAAGCGGATGGCAGGGTTTGTTGTGGGCTAGGCACATGCTGGGCGCTGTAGAAGTTGTCACCGTACAGGCTGAACTCTTGGGACTCCTGCCCCATGCTGTGGAACTGAGGTGAAAGAGACTGTGGAACAAATGATGTCATGCTTTCTTCCCGTTTCTCTTTGTTGAAGGAGAAAATGCCTCCTGCTCTGCTGCCTCTGTCTTACACAGGTGGATTGGTCAGGTGCACCACAACCTGACACCTGTCTCACCTGAGCTATTTATACAAGTTTTGCAACACCCTCTTTACTGTGATTGGGTGACAAAGTCACACCTCAGCCCTCATTTGTTTGGGGGGTTGTGTGGCACCTTGGGGGCTTGTAGATATACCAGTGGAATGTCTTAAGTTTCATGAGTGACTTTACCTTACATCTCATACATTACTTTTACTACTCCCAATTTTTTTTTTATTAGGGTTTTCCTCAACATTAAAACAAGACATTTAAACATCTGAACATCATATTAAACAAAACGACTCTAGGACAATATATGAAACTTAAAAATAACAAAAAACTTAAAAAAGGAATATTAATATAGAGTAGCATTATTTACATTCAATATCAACAGTGATTCACTATCTAACCTTGGTGTTTTATTTAAGTTCTATTCTGCTGTCAGGTCCACTGGGTTGCAGAACTGTAGAAATGGATTCCAAATGCTATACGTCTTTAAAGTTCCCTTTGATAATGTATGCCAGTTTTTCCAGAGCAAGATTACAGGACATTTCCTTGATCCGTTTATTAGAATAGGGTCTTTGAGTCTCTTTCCCTTTTAATGCATTACTCCCAAACTTAATTGTTATGAACAACACAAAACCTGAAATTAGGCAAATTTGAGCAGTTTTAAAAGGTAAGTTTACCTGAACTGATAATTTTTAGTGTTTGCTGTGTTATATCTTAAATCTCCAGCTATTAAAGTGAAATGAGGTATACTGAAAGAATGAAAAATGCAACGAATGGAATCAGAATGTACAGTGCAAATCTAAATATTTAGATCCTCAAATTTAAGTAAATTGGCGGTTCATTCCACTGTGGCAACCCCAGATTAATAAAGGGACTAAGCCAAAAAAATGAATGAATATATTTAAGTAAATTTAAGCCAATATTGGATAAAATATGGACAAAATTGATCATTTTTTTTATTTAAATGTATAGGCCCCAATACAACACAACGTTTTAATTTGTTCATATTTTCCCAATTCAGATTGAAATAACCCAGCATTTTTGAATGTATAATTATGAAATTAATACGTTTTAATATGTCTTCATTTAATAAACAATAACAAAACAATGAAATAAAAGAGAAATTTGTCTATTATTTTCAGTTTGTGTTTGGTCATTGTATTAAACAAAGCTGCAATAGCAATTGATTGAGAAAAATGAAAAAGTTGGGTAATTTTTTTTTTACATGAAATTTAATTTGAAATTTAAACTGATCCACTAAACCAACTGTTGAGCTCTAATTTTATGTTGGTGACAGCGTGGTTTCTGCGGTAGGTTGTCATATTAAAAGCACACCATCATGCCTTCGGTTTAGGTTAATTTGTTTACATTTTAACATCACTCGAAGCTGCTGGGGGTGAAACGTGTGGCCATTGACTCTCTTCTCAACCCTTTCACTGAGATAATGTGAATTCGTATCTCAGTCGCAATTTACATTGTAAAACAGCGCGCGCACCACCCAGACCTCCACGCGCCGGGAGATTGTCTTGCTGTCTCGAAATCAGTCTGCAGGCGTTTTCTGATCGCGCGCGATTAAGTGAAAGTCTGACGTTTAACCATCGTGCCAGATTATTAAAACACATTTTTACCAAATCCAACCTTGCCTAATCTGCGATCAAAATTATGAATCAGTTCTCTTATAGGCTATTCAATATATTATAGCCTAAACAATAACATTAAAATGGCGGTAAAAGACAAACGCCAAATATTTTGAGTTTTACGATATTATAAATTATGACCACCGATTAGTTTTACAATGTAGCCGGCTTCTAACTGATTAACCCGTTGGCTATGACTAACAAGCTGTCATAAATCAGCATATTTGGCAAAACAGCCTTCCAAAGGACAAACAGGGAACTAATATTTTTTTGTGAACGAACAATTGCTGCATTATCATTGCAGTATTGCCGTGTCCAAATAGCAGGGGCGCCGTTAGGGTTTCTGGACCCCTGATTGTACTCCAAACCCCAAAACCTCATACCCCAATCTTCTTGTCACAGGTAGCTACAATTATGTATTCAATGAGAGACAATAAAGAACTAAACATTATAACAAATTACCTGAAAATCTACATTTGTAATAGCCTACTTATTATAAACAGTACAAGTATTTTTTTTTTATTTCTATTTGTTTTTTTATTTTTCTAGATGTTAAGATGCACATATAGCTACATGTTTTAACAGGTCTACATGAAACCATGACTGTTTTGAACACCAGTCTCTCCCATACATTGACACCAATGAAACACTTCTTATTTTCATATAAATCATAATTATATCATGGTACAATAAATCACCTTTAAAAAAAAACAAAGCAACCAGGTGACCTGTCTTCCCCTTCACGCTCTTTTTCTTTTTTTTTTTTTTCTTCTAGTATCCTGATTTGGCTTGGCAATCTCAAATCTTGCCATGTACCTGAACAATGTGCGAATTCAATATTCTATTTATGTAGCCTATTTAAAACAAATAAAATAATTTAATTCTCCTCTGCCATCATTTTATTAACAAGTAATACTGTATAACAATGTGTGCCATCAGCAGTGTTGCCATGCAAATGCATTTTGTGTTTTATTTGCAAGTTTGCCATGCTTATTCTGTATTAGCCTATCAGTCTACACTCTAATGCTGTGTTATTTCAAGCAAGCAATGGGTAAAATATGGACACAACAATGCTGAGATTATTTTTAGGCCCAAATTCAACTCAAAATTAGTGTTTGTCCATATTTTACCCAATTTGGATTGAAATAATCCAGCATTTCTTTGAATGTGTTATCAATAATAATGAAATCAATACATTTTGATAGTTTTAATTTTATAAAAATTACCTAAATACTGAAATGAAAGGGAAATTTGTCAATTATTTTCAGTTTATGTGAGGTCATTGTATAGTTAAACAGCTGAAATAGAAATTGATAGCGAAAAAATTACTATACACACTAAAAATGTCCGGTTAATTTTATGATCACACTTTATTTTGATGGTCCGTTTGTGGATTTTTAAGTTACATTGCCTCTACATGCCAACTAATTCTCATTATAAGTAGACTGTTAGGTTGAGATTAGGGTTAGGGTAAGTTGACAAGTACTTGCAAAGTTTCTTATAGTCATTTAAATGTCTGTTGAAGGAGCAGTATCAACAGATAGTAATACTCAAATGGACCATCAAAAAATGGTTACCAATTTTTTACATTAAATTTAATTGGAAATTTCACATTTTCACAGTTCATATTTGACCAAGCGTTGAGTAATTTACAACCCAGTAGTTTAAGGATTAGATGTAGGATTAGGTTACTGTGCGACTAGACTGAGGTGTAATAGATTATCCAGAGCTTGTGGGATATAACAAACGAAAGCAGCCATAAATCTGTCAAATTTCAGAGCATCATACTGTCGGGATTATTACTGACACCTGTTTTGACATATTATGCCAAACTCATGTAACTCAATCCCCTTGTATGCACTGATGTGTTGTAAACACAAAGACAGTTTGATAATCGTGAGAGCGCTTAAGAAACAGTTCACCTGCGTTTTCCTTTTGGAAAGTGAGGCTTCAAATTATTACTGGCACATGAACAGAATCTGACAGAAATAAGCGACAGAACAGGAATCTAACATAAACACCTTTAATAGTAAATGGTTGAACAATTCGATTAAAAAGAGTTCAGACTGATTAGTTTGAGAAATGGTCATAATAATGATAAAGTACTGATTCATCATCTTGTTTATATGAACACAATGTGCAGCTATGCATTTAGGAGAAAACAAAAACTTTACAATGTTGTACAGCGATATATTTTACAGTAACCTGAGATTTTTTGCATAGTTTTTAATGTTCATTTGAGCAGAATAAAAAATGAAATGAAAACCAGAACTAGTTACTGATAATGTTTAATATCCAGCCGGATAAATCAGAGCACACTGCTTCTGTTGACCCGATTCTCGGTTCTTAGCATCAATGAGAAGGAGAGGCGTGTGTTTATGCTGGTTGACAATGTCACTGACCCGCTCAAAACTCTGTTGAAAACATGAAACATTGTTATTGACTTTGGTTTACTGTGCACAAAACAATGATGACAGACATTTAAGGCAATAGTTTGAGTACCTCAGACGCTTTCATTCCGGTGCCTAGCATGAAGCGATCTTGGTTTCTGCGGATCTGAATGTTGTAAACTTTATCCTGGTAGAGGACCACCAGCGTGTATGGCTGGTTAGAGGACCGATTTGAGCTGTCTCGCACAAGGAACGTCCCGTCCTAATGGAGGACATGAACATTTATGATGACATCAAGAACGACATTTGCATTTTTTATAAACTTTCAATGGTGAATGTTGAAATGCAGCTTTATACACACTGATCTCACCCTGTTAACTCTTCTCAGACAGCTTTCTGCCTCACCCCGCGTAATCTGACCCAAATACCAAGCTGGATCCATGTCCTGTAAATGGAGGAATAATGAAATATTAGGTTAACAATGACTTACTATGAGACATAACAAGGACCTAGCAAAGCTTTAAAGGGATCCCTATAGTAGCAAAGAATTCTGGCCCAGATTTGGCATAAAGCTGGGACAGCAGGCATTCATCCCGCACTGGCATACAGCATGTGGGCCAACCATTTTAAAAATTGATTGTGGACCACGTGAGTTTGGCCAGTCTTGACCCACATTTAAAATACATTAAAATAAATTTTGATTAAATAAATCAATTCTACCAATCTGGTCACTGATAAAAAACAAGGCCCATAGTGTGCCTAAAGCGCAACGCTTCATAGGTTTATCAATTTCATTGCAATCTTGACACACCAACCTTACTGGCCCAGGTCAGGCCCAGTTATGAGTTATTAACTTGGCTGAGACTTGGCCCAGATATGGTCTGTGTTTGGCCCTTGTCTAGAAGCCAGATTTGGTCCAGTCATGTACCATAATTCACTGGGGCATGTGGGGCAAGCAAAACCTGATTGTGTGGGC